AGTCAAAGGAGATTGAGCCAAACAAAAGAAACAAGCATAACAAAACCAGGCTTCTCTACATCTATCCTTTGAAACCAAAACCCTCACTAACTAAACTACTCAGAGCTGGAAAAAACAATATACAGGGGTGGCAACAATCCGCTAACCTAGTGTGTCTAAACATTAGTTAGCTACGTGGTGAGAAATGTACAGGGTACCCCAGACTTACCCAACTCCTCCACCTCTCAACACACACACTTTCAAAAGGTCAGACAATATAAGGAGCATGAGTTGCTAAACACTGCAGTCAATTGCAGGCTCCTCAATTAGCAACAGGCCCAGAGTGAGAGACCGAGAAGACTTCCTGGGTGCCTCTTTTATGGTCGGCCCTGGCTGCTGATGAGGGTGAGAGGATCCAATCAGCCATCAGACTCAGGTGCACAGGCAGATACCGATCAGCTGCTGATTAGCTGTGTAGAAGACAGGGAGAAGAGAGAAACACAGGAGGGAAGGAAAACCACACCAGTACAGCCTGCCTGGCACGTAACAATGTGTTTCCGAGCCGCTCCGATTACAACGAGAACGTGACGTCATATTTACACAAGACGGATCCTTTCTAGCCATAACCAATGAGCAGCTCTCATAGGAAAGAACGAGACCCCGCCTCCCACGCTGTATCCACTTCTTATTATACATCCATGGAAACGACTCGCTTGTATCTCGAGCTGAGCGCTCATTGGTGGTTTTTACCCCGTGCTGGTGATGAAACTCTCCAATTGGTTCCGCAAAAGTTTGTTGTTGCCACTTCCATTCACAATTTTCATAATTGTTCCACAATGTTTATCATCATGAAATGAATATCAATATATATTTGATACTATACTTGCACTGTTTACCGTTTTCATACTTTATATATCTTAGCATATTCATACTGCTCACAGGCTGATAGCCTATCTAGTGTATTCATACCCCTCACTGTTTATTCATCATTCAATTCATTCTATATTTTATTCTGTAGATTGTGTACATTACTTTTCACTTTACTGCTTGTTGCACTCCTAGGTAGAAGCTAAACTGCATTTTGTTGTCTCAGTACCTGTAATATGTGCAATAACAATAAAGTTGAATCTAATCTTGAGCAGGAACAAATGTATTTACTTAGTGCATATCTGACATTAACGATTAAACACATGTGTGCATTCTTTATAAATGCAAACCGAGTCAAGCCGACTCCGAGAGGAGAGACACCTCTGGAGATCAGAAGAGAGAAACTTGCTCTGTCATACTGGGTCAGGCTACAAGGAAGTGGAGAGGGAAATATCACAAACGGAATACTACAGGATTGCTGGGAATATGAAAAAATTCCAGGGGCGTGGGTTTGGCTGGACGAGTAAGGAGAGAACGAGGGCATGTGGAGTGGAGACCATCACGTTTGCCAAAGCAAGCCCATTTAGCCGTGTTCCCCCATGGCTTTCCCCAGAAGCTAACATATGTGAGTATCATAGAAAGGAAAAAAGAGTGGCAAATAAATGAAATGGGAATTAAAACGAGTATGTATCTGAACGAAAAGTATTACAATTACCTACACATTTACACAGATGGATCTAAGAAGCAAGAATGCGTGGTGATAGGCATGTGTATCCCATAATTCAAAATATCAATCTTAAATCAGTAAGTTTATACAGCAGAAATACTCGCAGCCGTTATTGGGTTGAAGAGGTCAGACCTGATCTGCACAGACTCACTATCTGCTTTGGAAAGCATATAGTCCACAATAACAGTTCGAGAAGATTTCATCATTGAACTTAACCACTGCTTACTAAGACTTCAGAGGAGGGGGATAGATGTGCAGTTATGCTGGGTGCCGGCACATGAGGGGGTTCAAGGGAATGAGCATGCTGATAAGTTAGCAAAAGAGGCGTTACAGAAGGAAATAGCAATACCAGTGTCACTTGGAAAAGGAGAAGGAAAAGCAATAATTAAGAAGAAGGGTATGGAAATATGGCAGAAAAGGTGGGAGGAAGATCAGAAAGGGAGGAGATACCACAAGTTACAGAAATCAGTCATAACAAAGCTCTATACAGAAAGGAACAGAGGGGAGGAGATCACCATCACTAGACTCAGACTGGATCATACAGGATTAAATGGCACAATGTTTTTAAAGGGAAAAAGCGAAGTTGAAGAATGCAGGGGGTGTGGAATGAAAGAAAATGTGGAACACATCATATAACACTGCTGTAATGGCAATTTCCTGTTCCTATGTCCTATATATTTTTGCCATTACTTCACAGAAGGGCTGAAGAGTGATCCAGACGCAGACGCATACAGATGACTTTCCAGTCCTTTGTTGCAGTTTATAATGAGGTTTATTGAGCGTTTACATACCAGGGTTTAATTGTACAGTTTTAGTTGTTGTGATGAGCATCTGCCGGGCTGGTGGAATCGGTATGCTCTCTCCCTCTGTGTCCTTCCTCTCCTGTCACCTATGACCTCTTTATATACACCCGGTGCAGCTAAACCCCACCACCAAGTGTTCAAAAATAATATTGCACTATACATATCACTTAAATAAACGGACACACCAACAGCATGTCAGAAGAACCGGCGCATAAGAAAACAAAATACAGTCAAACTAAGCTGAAATTCAACAACTTGAATGTCACATCCCTGACATCCACAACTCCGGAGCCTGGTCCTTCAACCATAGAACCAGCGCAGCCAGATGAACCCCAGCAGCAGCTCTGCTGCCGCAGAGGCTGTCAAAACCGCCGCCGCCGGCATCGTTGAACCGAAACAGGCTGGTTCCGACTGCATGGAGGTTTGTTGTCGGGACATTGTGACGGGCAAATAAAAGCTTATTTGGACAAAGAGAAGGTACTTCAATGCAGAATGGTACAAAAACAGAGAGTGGTTAATTATTTGCAAAACCACTAAACGAGCCTTCTGTGAAATATGCAGATGTGATGCTGTCAAACGGCTTGTAATTTTCTCCAAATGTGGAGATGACAGCTTTGTAAATACCGAGTTAATAACTGGAACTTTTCACAGAGCTTACTTCAGTCAAACACCAGTCAACATTCAGCTTGTCAAACAAGAGCGTAGCAGGAAAAAAGAAGAGATGGAATGAGCAACTGCGCTGTCATATGTGTGGGCTGGTCTGTATAGTTTAATGTACAGGAAAGGAGTGAGCAGAGGGTTGAGTTGTCCATTCTTGTTCTGTTTTCTCTGACTATCTTCCTCCTGAAGACCCTCTCATTTTCATTTTCTCGCGCTACTAAAGAGACACGTTACCATGGAAACCAAACAATGGTGTAGCTGTATTGAAGTCCGAGTGGAAACAGTAACATTTGGTGCGTAATGTTAGAATGAAACAAATCAGATTTAGTCAGAAATCGGGAGAAATGCGGGATAAATATGACCCCGGGAGGAAAACGGGAGTCTCCAGCGAAAATCGGGAGGGTTGGCAAGTAGGCTATGTCACATACACACGCACTTTTTGCCCCCCCCCCCCCCCCCACTTCTTAAATGAATCCGGCGCCGCTGGCCTGATGGGGACACCCGGAACAGAAGGTGAGGGGTAAGAGCTACCAGGAAGGGAGTAGAGCCTGATGGGGACACTGGAAACAGAAGGTGAGGGGTAAGAGCTACCAGGAAGGGAGTGGAGCCTGATGGGGACACTGGGAACAGAAGGTGAGGGGGTGAGAGCTACCAGGAAGGGAGTGGAGCCTGATGGGGACACTGGAAACAGAAGGTGAGGGGTAAGAGCTACCAGGAAGGGAGTGGAGCCTGATGGGGACACTGGAAACAGAAGGTGAGGGGTAAGAGCTACCAGGAAGGGAGTAGAGCCTGATGGGGACACTGGTAACAGAAGGTGAGGGGTAAGAGCTACCAGGAAGGGAGTAGAGCCTGATGGAGACACTGGGAACAGAAGGTGAGGGGTAAGAGCTACCAGGAAGGGAGTAGAGCCTGATGGGGACACTGGAAACAGAAGGTGAGGGGTAAGAGCTACCAGGAAGGGAGTGAAGCCTGATGGGGACACTGGGAACAGAAGGTGAGGGGGGTGAGAGCTACCAGGAAGGGAGTGGAGCCTGATGGGGACACTGGGAACAGAAGGTGAGGGGGTGAGATCTACCAGGAAGGGAGTGGAGCCTGATGGGGACACTGGGAACAGAAGGTGAGGGGTAAGAGCTACCAGGAAGGGAGTGGAGCCTGATGGGGACACTGGGAACAGAAGGTGAGGGGGTGAGAGCTACCAGGAAGGGAGTGGAGCCTGATGGGGACACTGGGAACAGAAGGTGAGGGGGGTGAGATCTACCAGGAAGGGAGTGGAGCCTGATGGGGACACTGGGAACAGAAGGTGAGGGGGTAAGAGCTACCAGGAAGGGAGTGGAGCCTGATGGGGACACTGGGAACAGAAGGTGAGGGGGTGAGAGCTACCAGGAAGGGAGTGGAGCCTGATGGGGACACTGGGAACAGAAGGTGAGGGGGTGAGAGCTACCAGGAAGGGAGTGGAGCCTGATGGAGACACTGGGAACAGAAGGTGAGGGGGTGAGATCTACCAGGAAGGGAGTGGAGCCTGATGGGGACACTGGGAACAGAAGGTGAGGGGGTGAGATCTACCAGGAAGGCCATTCTTAAGTATTTGAGTGAAACAGGATTGATTGGAAGAATTTAAAACAACGTAAATACAGTGGTATAATTCCACAAGTGGTGATAGGATGATATGGTGATACACACTCTTGTACAGTAGGTGGCGGTATGCACCTTAAAGTTGTTTGCAATCCGCCAAAAACCGAAAGAAGAAGAAGAAGAAGAAGAAGAAGAAGAAGAAGAAGAAGAAGAAGAAGAAGAAGAAGAAGAAGAAGAAGAAGAAGAAGAAGAAGAAGAAGAAGAAGAAGAAGAAGAAGAAGAAGAAGAAGTCGTCGTCTACTTTCGAGGCGAGCCGCAGCTTCGGGAGCAGCCTTCCTCGACATTGAGAAACACCCTGATTTGAAGATAACAGTTGAATTGATATGATAAATAATACTTTATAGTGAATGTATGTGTAACATATTGGGTGTAGCTATATCCATTCTATTCATATTTCACGACACTTTAATACAATTTAATATTTGACAGATTATTTTCTAAAAGATAATTAACTTTTGGCTCTTTTTTCACTCTCTGTTTGGTGAATTTGAAACAGTAACAAAGAAATAAATGTGAAAGACGTATCTACATTATTTAACACTCTTGTTCTGAAACTCCCGGTTAGAAATACCGTGACTATTTCCGGCGGAACAGAGCAGTGTTTTGGTCCTCTCGTGCTCATGGCTGCTCACGGTAAAAACTTTATCCGCGTGCGCCTCCACTTCGACTACCCGCCACCGGCTGTGGCGGGATGCCGCATGTGCTGGCTGCTCGCGGACCTGAACACCTGCCGGGTGGTGGCGGACCTGGAGAGCCTGATCCGGGAGAAGTTCGGGTTCAGCCGCAGCAGCGTCCTGCAGCTCTTCCTCCAGGACTGCTACTTGCCGCACACCGAGAGCGTTTGTGTTGTGCGCGATGACGACAGCCTCAGGTGCGCGTGCTCTTCTGTCAATAATACTGTACTACACATAACATTGCACTTATAGTTCTGTTCACATAATGCTGTAGCCATAGTACTGTATCCACACAGCAATGTACCCATAGTACTTTACCCATAGTACTCGACCCATAATGCTGTACCCATAGTACTGTAGTCACATCTAACCAAGCCCTGTAACTGACTGCCTTGTGGACACGATAAGAAGAAGTACTGTAGTGTAAGCTACTCAGTATTGTACTCCAAGTATTTAACCCAAAGTACTGTACCTATATTACTCTACCCATACTGCTATACCCATAGTACTGTAGACTACTCATAATACTGTGCCTAATACTGTAGGATACTCATAGAACAGTACAGTATTGTACCAATAGGACTGTACCCGTAATGCTGTACTTCTGGTTGTGAACCAATACTACTGTAGGCTACTCATATTATTGTACCAATAGGACTGTACCCATAGCACTGTACCCATAGCACTGTACCCATAGTAATATAGGCTACCTATAGTATTGTACCCATAACACTGCACGCACAGTACTTTAATACATACTGTATAGTACTATCAGTGTAGTAATATACTACTATTATAGTAGTAATACTGTACCAATGGTACTGTTCTCTAATGCTGGGGGGGGTGGCAGTTTTTTAAAAATCATTTTAAAACTATATCCCAGTCCTTTATTATTCCGACCTTTTTATGGCTACTTACTGGTTCCCCTCTCAAATCCCTATCTCACTGTGCTTGATCCAGGAAGAATGGTCAAGAAAGTCATAAACTCTAAAGATATAAATGTGTATTTTACTATGTTTGTCTCCTCCTTGAAAGACTTGATTTTTGATTTTCCAGGGTGAAGGTGGACTCTCTGGCTCATTTTAACGGCGACAGCAGCAGTCCGGATGCAGCAAGTGAAAACTGCAAAAAGAGACAGAGACCCACAGAGGAGGATTGTCCAGAAGAAAAGGCAGTGTGTGTGGATCGGAAGAAAAAAAAGAGGAAAAAAAAGTGTGAGGAGAGCGTGGAGACCGATACCAAGCAGGCTTCAGGAGAGGAGAAGAATGGGAAGTCAGAAATAAAACACAAGAAGAAGAAGAAGAAGAATAAAAAGAAGGCAGAGGAAACCCCCAAAGCAGCTGATTCTCCCCCCAAAACCCCAGCTAGTGTAGAGAAGCCAGCTAAAAGCAGCAAGAAGCCCCTAGCGACAAAACCAAAGAAGGTCTCCTCTTCAGACTCCAGCAGCAGCAGCGAGGACGATGAAGCTGCCAAAAAACCAGCCGCCATAAAACCCACACCCAAAACACCCACACCCAAAACACCCACACCCAAAACACCCACACCCAAAACACCCACACCCAAAACACCCACCCCCAAAGCACCCTCCTCCACTCCTACTGCTTCCAAGGCACCTCCAACCACCAAACCCCCCCAGACTAAACCACGCCCTCCTCCTTCATCCTCTTCCGAGTGCTCCTCCTCTGATGAGGCCCCCGCTGTGAAAAGCCTGCCCAAAACAACTTATTTAACCTCCACAGCCCCCAAAGGAGCAATAAGTAAAGACTCCAAGCCCCAGCTGGCCACCAACGGTGCACAGAAGCAGGTGGCGGTGCAAAATCACCATGACAACGCAGCGTCTTCTGACTCAGACAGTGATGATGAGATCAAGCTGGTGATCCGCCAGCCGGGGCCGCAGCCAGGCTTCGGTGGGGGCGGCATGTCGCCCTGGAGAGGCCGCGGCAGGGGACACATCGGGCGGGGGAGTCCTGTAGAGCAGGGCAGGGGACACATCGGGCGGGGGAGTCCTGTAGAGCAGGGCAGGGGACACATCGGGCGGGGGAGTCCTGTAGAGCAGGGCAGGGGTGGAGGACCAAGAGGCTTCAGAGGGTCCAGTTACAACGGAGCCAGAGAGCCGTCCTGCCACACTGACTCACTGACCAACCTGTCAGTGGTCCTCCAGGTGTGTCTCTCATTAATGTCTGTGATTCAGTAGGAATTCAGTTCCTGCTTAGGTCATCTTTAAATAGGACAGTGATGGAAGTACTTAGATTACTTACTTAGGTAAAAGTAACAATACTACAGTGTAAAAATACTCAGCTATAAGTAAAAGTCCTGTAGTAAAAATTGTACATAAGTAGAAGTATTAGCATAAAAATATACTTTAAGTACCAAAAGTAAAAGTACTCTTCATGAAGATGCACAAATAAGCATATATAATATATTTTAAATGATTGTGTTATAACTATTAATGTGTTCATAACTTCAATGTTTCACTTGGAAAAAGTGTGGTTCATTTGAATTATGTGATGCACTCCTGGCTAGCTTAACCTATAATAAAATATAATAATGTGTTAGTTGATTTATATTTTGTATTCATAATCTAAATCGGAAAAGTAACTAAATCTGTTAAATAAAAGTAGTTGAGGAAAAAGTACAACATTTCTCTACAGTAAAGTACGAGTACCTCCATTTATTTTACTTAAAGTACAGAACTTGAAAACATTTACTTAAAAGAAAGTAACAACAAATAAAGAAACTGACACTAGTCCGAGAGATAACCTAATTGTTTACATCTAACGAGAAACAAGTTCAAAAAACGATTGCACCATTCAACAATACTTTGTTCATCCCTTGTTGTAGAACGGAGCAAACGGAGCACAAGCTGCCCCCAAACGGGACTACAGCACCTTGCCTCTGCTGGCCGCCCCCCCCCAGCCAGGGCAGAAGATCGCCTTCAAGGTAATGCCCTAGCCACACGGAGACGAAACGGGTCGTATCCGCTACAGTTCTATATCTCTTGCCCCTTTCACACCAACGCGTTTTCAGCTCCGGCTCGGAGCTGGAGCCTGAAAAGTACCGGTTTTTCCTGTTCACACCGCAGAGGCGCCGCCTCTTAGCTCCGGAATCCGGTTCACTTCCAGCTCCAAAAAATTGTCGGTCTAGAGGCAAGAGCTTCGGAGCTAAGAGGCGGCGTCGCTTACGTCTCTCTTACGTCGAGGCGGGTTGAAGTAGATGCTGAAGACCACAAAGAAGTCTTGCATTTCGCATGTGATGTTTGTAAAATTCCAAGTAAAGTCGTCCCTTGTAAAGTCGTCCGATGCCTTCCATTTCGTTTCGTAAGAGGATAACCAAAGCGAACAGCGCTTCAATACAACCGGCCATTGTTGTTGTTGTCGATGTGAGGGATTTCCGCGCGGTTTGGATTTTATGAAGCAGGCACGTAAACGATGACGTCATGACGCAGCAGCGGCAGCACCAGTCGGGCTCTGGGCGGTGTGAACAGAGCGGGAGCAGAAAAGGGAAACCGGAGCTGAACCAGAAAAGCTCCCGCTCGGAGCTAGAAAGGGAAAAGCGCTGGTGTGAAAGCCGCAATATAGACGGTTCGGCCACACGAGGCCGACAGGGAAACGATAACGATAACGGGTGGGTAGATCTGCGGACGCAACGCTCTGGGGGGCAAACGGCTCCATGTGTACGTCCTATACCATCATTTCCTAATAACATAAATACTGATGGGCTGTCAGGAGAGGGGGAGGAAAAGAGAGACTCCGTATATTATTATTATATAGAGTCGTTATTCGTTTGTTTTAAAGCTCAATAAATAACAAAGAAGACCTTTGACCGGCACTTTTCTAATTTTGTCCGGAAGATTTAAACTTTAACGGACATGTTGACCGGCGAAAACAAATCTAATTGAAACTTTGCTGCACGGTTCCCTCGTCCCTTGGAAGAGACGGAGAGGTGGGTGATTTTCATCTGCTGGTGGATTACCAGGGAGATTTACAGTAGGAGCACACGCTTGCCTCGGGGAGGGAGAAAAGGGCCAGAGCTCTGGCCCCTGCCTCTCTCCCCTCCTCTGCTGCTAAATCCACCGCAGAGAATAAACAGAAGGGCAACCATGGCAACCATGGCAACCATGGCAACCATGCATGCTCGTGAAGTCTTCTTCGCTGCTTTTGGTGTATTTTGTGGCAGAAGTACAGCGCCACTTACAGGCCCGGCATATGTACTACAGCGTCTCCAGCGGGTCGAGCGGTCTCGTGTGGACGGACACGGACTTTTTTGATATCGAATTCGGTTCGTTTTCGTTACCCGTCTCCGTGTGGCTAGGGTCTTAGACTCACTAACTTTGCCCATGGCTAGCTTGTTGGTGGCTAGCTAAGCAGAGCAGAATGTCACTGTGTCTTTTAATCCATGTTGAAAATAATAGTTACTCGCAGCCCTAATTACCAGTAGGTGTAATGCTGTTTATTGCTCACCACTATTTTTCGTTTTTAATGTATTTACAATAAACATTTGTGTGTGTTCACAGTTACTAGAGCTAACAGAGAACTACACACCGGAGGTATCAGAGTATAAGGTAGGTGTGATTGTCTCTGACTTCATCATACTGGAATCCCCACACTACTGACCCACATGTTGCTTCTCATTTTAGGAAGGAAAGCTTGTGAGCTTTGACCCAACCACCAAACAGATCGAGCTGGAACTTCTTTATACCTATCAAGGTAAGGACCCTTGCACCACTTACATCATTGATCTTATTCTAAAATGGCTAATTTAAAGTGTCAACATTCAAAAAGGTTTGTCTTCCAAAACACTGGTGGCAAAGAAAATATCGCATTGCAGTACTCGCACAAGTTTGAACGCGATATGATTTGTATTCCTCTTGTCACTCAAACTAAACGCTCCGGATAGAAGGCGGGGCTTATCTTTATGTAAAGAGAATCAGGTTTATTACCAGGTAGGTTCACACGCACGAGGAATTTGACAAGGTGTCGTGGTGCATACAAAAAAAGAACACACATAGTGAACTATATTAAGAACACTGTAATACAAATATAGTTAGATAGCAATAAAATAAAGCAGTAATTTACATTGAAATAGAATGCAATACATTTATAGAATATATAAATGTAAAGGCCAACAACGTCTATCAACCATGGCTGAAATGACTGCTCTTGCTGCTTTGTGCATGTTGTGCATGTCACAGATATTTGTTGTTAGCTACGGTGGACTGAACCCAAAATGACCATATTTGATATGATTTAATAGCAAGAGTATGTCAAAATGACTACATGTTTATGATTAAAAATGAGTTCATTCTTCCTCAGCTCCTGTAGAGCCGGGCAAGTTTGACCTTGTGTATCAGAACGCAGATGGCTCTGAGAGCGTGGAGTACGCCGTGTCCAGAGGCTCTCAGGTAACATATTCAACTACTGATCTATTGTTAAAGGAATACTTTAACCTTAAGGGAAAGAGAGGTGAAGGAGGGAAATCAATCTCATGTCTGTTTGTCAATTATATTTACTTCAATAGTGTTTTCATTTGTCAGACAGTTTATAGATTTGTTATCTTAACGGCCATCTGTATATTTGTCTTACTCTCTAATGCTGCTTTATTCTATTTTGTGATGTTTATATTTTAGAATTGTTTTATTTCTACTCTTATAATTTGTTATTATATGCAATGCCTTGTTTTGTTTTATGCTGCTGCAACAACAACAAAATCCCAAATGGGGATTAATAAAGTACATCTTATCTTATATATACATATATAATAAGGGACCTTTTTAACAAACACAATGTCAAAAATGTTCAATAAAAAATAAGAATTAAAACAAATATTTATGCAAAGATAAAATTGTGCACATTGTACTACTACAATATACAACTATAACTGTAATACATATATTAAATTCAGAGCAGATAAGGGTTTTGTGTGTGAAGACGAGTATAAAGTTGTGAGCAGTAGTGCTGAGACCCAAAGCGGCTGGACTGGATCACATCATATATATGATAAACCTCACAGAACATTAACCAGGCCTATTCATTTCTACTCAAATGCTGGTCGAAAGCAGCTAATGCCACATTGATGGCAACAAGTATCTACTCATTCAAAGTGGTGAATAATTCATATGCGTATAAGCATACTGTATATCTAAGCATATTGGTAGTTGAAAAACGTCGTCATCTCCTCCCACAGGTGACAGAGCGCTGGGACTCCCTGCTGGAACCAAGGCTGATCATCTAAAAATGGATCAAGCTGTTTCTCTACTTATTTTTTATTTCAGGATCCTTCAGCTTGACCTAAACTGGAGAGTCACTTCTGTGCATTGTACATGACGGCTAAGGAATGTGATAAAGGTTGATTATATTCTCTTAGATGTACTCCTCAATAACTCATTATTTGCACAGAAAAGCTAGTGTAGGTGTAAGTATTGAAAAGTGGAATATGTTTTGTATTCAATCTGGGTAAGATATGAAGTATTGTGTTTTAATATGTTGGTGGAACGAGTGACTTCCAGGACAGAGACATAATGGTTTTATGTTTTGTACAGTATTGTGTTGATATCAGTCTTGTATAAACCGTTTTTCTAATAAAATCCTTGGTCTTATTGCAATGTAGTAATGCTTCCTTTCATGAAAAGCCATTTCTTCTAGGAGAAGAAAAGAATGACAGGAATGCTATATGAAACATTGATTCCCTATGTCATTTAAAATGTAGACTTACTACATCAAATATATGAAACAAAGGCACATGCTGAATCCCAACTCTCCCATTTTATTAACAGCAAAGGATAAGGTGCCTGCATTCAATCCAACTTTAGGTCAAGCGAACTAAACACCATAGCTCAATGTTTTTTTTGGTTGTTTTTTATAAGGATCTACCTGGAGCTGTGTCACCACCATGGTCAGTTTTCAAAAATATTTTTTTCGTTGCTTGTACTAACTCCATTTCTTTTTTGCATTGCATTGTGGGATACACATTTACATAGTGATTATGTTCAAAAATGAAAGATGTGTTTGCTGTCTGCAACTGACTAAGTAATGTTGGTTACAGACACATATATTTCTACTTTGCTCATGTATTAGCTGCTAATATATGAGCGTTGCTTCATGCTGTGCTTTATTGCATCTGAATGCAACCAAGAAGAATGTATTTTCAGAAATTATATGCATTGCTTTAAATCATAATCTTGAATTCTTCCAGTTCCAACCATTATTATTTTTGATGTCATTCCTTGCATTGTATGTACTATATTCTCTTTTTTTGTTGAACTTGGCTCGACTGCATCTTTGAAAACAGCTGAAAGGGCATATTGTTTATTTCGGAGAGTGGTAACACACCTGGATTATTAATGAGCTGCCGGCTTGTGACGCAATGCCTCGTGCCTCAGTCGTTTATCATCGGCTTTTTCCGTCACTTCTCGCGCTTCTTGAGCACGCGCCGCTGCTTATGTCACGGCAGCAGCATCAGCAGTCGGTTCGGCGGAGGAGAGTGGAGGACGGGATGAAGGAGAAGACGACGGTGATGATGGCGACCGTCACAGACATTCTTTAACAGGAAAAAAATAATACCAAGCAGCTCTGCGATGGAAGGAAATGTTCCTGACCAGGAGCAGCTCCTGCAGTTTCTCCGGAGGCTCAAGGAGGTTTTCGATGTCTGTGACGAAGATGCGGACGGATTCATCCGCGTTGAGCACCTGGTGGACCTCGGGCTGCAGTTCGGCCAAGGAGACGAGGTGAGAGGCTGGAGGACAGGACGTTTCCGCTAAATATAGACCATTTGTGCTTTATATTTATATCAGTATTCAGCTAATCGTAGACTATAGGTGCTTTGGGTTTTTTATTTAGCTAATTATAATCTCCAGACCTGTGCTTCACCAACACGAGTGTTTCGAAGGCTATTCGGCTATGTATTCAGTAGCTAACTGACTGTATGTTCCTTGCATGCTCAGTGTTTAGCTATAGACTATACTGCATGCTTTACATGTTCATTATTTAGCTAAATATAGTCTGTGTGTGCTTTTCACGGGTGTTCAGTTGCTAACTATTGACTGATATGTTATTTACATGTTAAGTGTTAAGCTAACTATAGACTGTAGATGCCTAACATGTCTTTTCAATATTTAGCTGGATATATAGGACTAATATAGGCATTTTACATTTCTCTTCAGTAGGTGCTTACCTATCTATAGTTAGCTGAATAATAACGTGTACATGTACATGTTAGTATGAGATTATAGGGGCTTTGCATGTGTGTTCAGTTGCTAACTATTGACTGTATGTTCTTTACATGTTCAGTGTTAAACCAACTATAGACTATGTCGTTTTAATATTAAACTGGACATCAAATAACTTTATATTATTGCTTTTAACTAACCTAATACAGTTGACATAATACATTTAATGAAAGTCAACGTTTCCGTTTTTTCAGTGTATAGGCAGAGCTGGAAGAAGTACTAAGATCTTACTTCAGTAAAGTAAAAGTACCAGAGTGTAGGAATACTCTGTTACAAGTCATGTACAAAAGTATTAGCATCAAAAGTACCAAAAGTAAAAGTAGTGATTGTGCAGATTGATATGTTTTATAATGATTGATCATGAAAGTGTTCTCAAAGCTGGTAAAGGTGCAGCTAGTTTGAATGACTTTGTATACTGCAGGGTAGCTGGTGGATTTACTCCAGGTGGAACTAAAGATGTAACACTTGATTATATTTCACATCATTCATCCACATCTGTGAAGTAACTAAAGGTATTAAATACATGTAGTGGAGTAAAAGTAAACAATTTACCTCTGACTTGTAGTGGAGTAGAAGTACACAGTAGAATCGAATGGAAATACTCAAGTAAAATACAAGTATCTCAAGATTGTACTTAATAGCAGTACTTGAGTAAATGTACTTAGTTACTTAACACAAGTCACTATAGGTGCTATACTCAGTTTCCATTAGTGAAGTAATAGTTATCCGATTGCTGAAAAATGTCTCCAAATGTGAAAGCTTTTTGACCATCTGATATCAATCAAAAATAATTTAAACTGATTTCAATTCTGTGTTACAAAATCCCAAAAAGTACCACAACAACTTGAGACGTAGTAGAGCATGGAAATGGTAATCAATCTACTATTCTTCAAACATTAAGATAGGACCCCATTCAAAGGAAAGTGTATTCAATATCTTACACAGTACTGAGTGCATCTCTAATCTTCAGGTTGCCAGCGTGCAGATGATGTAAACCTGCTACCTCCCCTAGCAGAGTTCCCGGTAGAATATCAACATGTCCGTTAAAGTTGAAATCTTCCGGACAAAATGAGAAAAGTGCCGGTCAAAGCTCTTTGTTATTTATTGAGCTTTAAAACAAATTGATATGATTCAATATTAAACTAATAATAGTAGATTAACTACATTATTCAAAAGTGAACAGTAACTTACAATAACACGGGAATAATAAACGGAGCGCTCTCCCTCTCCTGACAGCCCGTCAGTATCATGCAGCTCGCGGATCAGTAATGAGTGACCCGACAGTAAAACTAAACATATCTATAACTAGTTCAGGTAGTTTGAGAGGTCATTAAAATAGCTACGTGTGATATTCTAACCTGAAGTGTGTGTTTTGTCCGCTCACCGCTGATCATGCAGAGCTGTGTGTCGACTCGTCAGCAGCAGCTGATCTCTCTCTCCCGTCAGATTAGACTCGCGTTTATGTCCATATCGATCAGATCCAGCTAGTTCTAGCTAATGATATGACTACCTGCTTATTAAAAGACACCTAAACAATAAGTGTCGCTATGCAACCGGGTGAGGCCACAAAGTATAGCGCAGCATTATGCATTTGTTTACATGCCCACCGGAACCCCGAGGCATTACCAACAGATCAACGCACAATCAACCCATACAGGACATCTCTTTCTCCACATTAAGTGTTAGACATTAGAATTGACTATTCTTGTCTGTCACATAAATGGTGCAAATTGCGCAACTGATGCGGTATTGCGCTAAACGGAAATTATTTTGAACGGACACTTTGAGCGGAGAGATTTAGATTTGCCGGTCTTCAGCATATTTTACCGGTCGTAGTCCGGTAATTACCGGCTAACGGGAACTCTGCCCCCTAGATGTCCCCCCTCCTTCTACAAAATACAAAAGTTGGTCTATGGTTAAGAGGAGTTTAAAAGTATAATGCAAAGTTTTAGATACCTTTTTGTCATGTCAAGTTGCCACATTTCAAAAGCCTGTTGTTTACATGAGCTCTGGCAGTTTGATCTTTCTGCCAACATTGAAATGTTTTAGCCCATATTAAACATTGGGCATTGAATCCTCAACAGCTTTCAATACGCTCCAAATGGGCAACTGCATTTACACATAAACGCTTAATAAAGCTTTCCCAATGTATACTTATTCATAGCAGTTTTTTTCACACCCTGCTGAAAAATTCAAACCGGTGGCTGCCCAGAAGAATTTTAATTAAATCTTAAAAATATGTGAAGTGGCAAATCCTAGACTTTGACTCTTCCTAAGCCACCTGAGGTAAGAGGATCAATGTCCAATAACCTTTCCTACAAAAATGCACTCACTGAGATGCTGTTTCGTTTCACTGAAACAATTATTTAATAAACAATTAAGTCCAGTTAACTTTCTAGAATCAAATCGAAACATAACTCAAACCTTATCTACTGTGATAAATGCGGAGGCAAATAATGTGGCCTTCTTAACTGCAATCAAAGATGTCTTTAGTCTATTAAAAGTATATAGTTCTAAATTATATATTTCATAAATCATACTTTTAAAAGCAGCTAACAACATATATTTGTGATATTGTCATCATAAATGTAAAAGCTTATTTTGAATTCTTATTTTTTTGGATGGACAGGATGGCAGATATTTTCGCGGCCTATACATTTTTCAGTTTTGAATATAAATAAAAAGATACAATAATTTATAAATGATACTTTACCAACACCTCATATACATATACAAGTCCTTATGTCAATCACTTATGTACCCTTAAATACATATATTTATATACACACACATAGCAATACAAACACACACAAATAAAAGTACCTACACACCTGTCTATTCATACATTTTTGCCACATATTATAATCAGCCATGTTTCCAGTTTAAGAAGTAAATGAACATTACATATATACATCTGCAGTGATGAACCATGGGGGTCTCTAATTTGTTTTTGTTTTTAATTTAGTTGGTTAATTTGTTTCAAATATAGGCTTCAGATGAGGCCTAATTTGTTATACTGTATTTAGTCACACCATATGGTTTGAAGACAGCTGTGTAAAACATGATCTTGAAATCAATGTGAATCAGTATTGTAGGAGGGTGCAGGTGAGATGCGCCTGTGAGTGTTTCAGAAGAATGAGAGGAGATTCTCCTTTAAGCTGTCATGGCGGCTGAGCACCATGAACACACTACTAAAAATAACTCTGTCGTACTAAGAGGTAGCTTTTCCTCCATCTCCCTCCCTCACATCGCCTCTCATCTCTGTGTTCTTTGTCACCATGGCGATGAGAGCCTGGCGAGGAGTCTCTGAGCGGATTGGTCGGTTATTAAGTAATGAAGCAGCCTATGAGACGGTGCAGCAGTCAAGTATTTACATTTGTG